AACCGATGTGGGGCAGCCCCGGCGTCTCCTCACAGCAGCCCCATGGCCTCCCTGCTGCCAGCGCCTGGGCACTGACAGACGATTCGGCATGAAAACGAAAATTAAGGATATTCTAATCAATTGTTCTGTTTTCAACTTAATGCAGATCCGCTCCTGCTCCCAGGACTGTCTCAGACAGATGTGCTGTCTCAGCACATCTCGCCAAGAAGCAATCGCACAACGTGCCCCAGATGGATGACTCGCAAAGTTTGTCAAAACCACCCAGCTCCTACACAGAACAGGAGATGCTCATGTGCTGTGGTTGGTGATTTACATGGGTTTGTTTTTTTTTTCCTCTGGACTCATTACACTGAAAAAGTTAGTGATGAGTGGCAGCTGCAGGATATTTGATTGTCAAAGCAGGCAAAAGTGATGGGCTGAAGGTTTGTGCAAGCCAAGTAAGTAACAGATCAATTTTAATGTTTTTTATTGTGCAAGGGAACAGGTCTGTAAAATAAAAGAGCAAGTGTTGAGGAGAAACACGAAAGCATCTAATGTATTCTTAATCACAGACATTCCCAATACCTCAAAAATAGAAATGTGTAGCTGAACACTTGTCTATAAATTAAAAAATATACAAACTTGTATGTAATTCCAAAAGCATATCTGAATTTAAAAAATTAAAAGCACTAGAAAAGGCACTGGAAAGTCTGGAAATGCCTTTACACATCTTTCTCCAAATTTACACAACTAAGTACCCTCCAAAATCTATTCTCCAAATGGGAATGAAGCTCCTAAAAAAAGGGACTTTGACTCCTCCATGTCATTTGAACATTTAGCCCATTACCTTCCAGGTATGAAATGCATGGCAAAGTACCCTTGCAGTCAGGACTGCCCACTTGCCCATGCAAACTGTTATTCACACTATGAAGTTCTCATGCCATCATTTCGCAAGACAAATCTAGTCCAAACTCAGACAGACCTATTCGAATCAGGTTCTGGCTTTATCACTGCACTACTTTTCTGCACTGTGGGTTTAAGCTCTGCTTGTACTTCAGTTGCATGCGGTGACACACCTTTAGCCATGTAACCGTAAACCCCTGCTTCCCTTCACTCTTAATTTGGAAGCTGAACTTCCTCTGCTAGTTGCTTGGTGGGGAGCTCATCAGCGATTGTCC